AATCTTTCAACGAATTCTCAATATGAAAACACAGGACAGTCTCCTTCAACTCAAGCTTCTCTTTGTGCCGATACATCAAGTTTATCCGATCTTAATATTTTTTCGAAAAAAGGAAGTCCCCCATTTTCCCCCCCGCTAGTTTTTTTTTCTTTTAAATATTTTTTAATTGGGACTCATGTGAGGATATTAGATCAATCAATCAAACCTTGGACATTTCTAGTTTTAGGGAAAAAAATAATGCTCAAGGGTTAGGATCATTTTTGAAAAATTACTGACCCCGCCCTTATAGTATTATTGATATCTCCTCTATAGCTGCACCAATTGTCACCAAAATTTTATTACATATATAGGTCATGTCTATCTATAAAATAAAATTAAAATTATCTTAATTAATTGCTTTTCTAACGAGGACCAGATTTTGTAAAAAATTTTTTAAAAAAATTGCTATTTTGCAGTGCATGACAAAGATTGTTTTTCTTATAGTTTTGCAATGGTTTTTATTTGAACAGTGAAATTTTTACCAATAATATAGCTTCACATAATCTATCAAATAAATACAAAAATTCAAAGAAAAACTAATGTTCATTTGCACAGCGATTCAACCTTTTTGAAAGATGACGATATTTGAATGGTAAACGATACCATGTGAGAGGATAAGAAAATTATCTATAAAAAAAAAAAATTCTTCCGTTAATTAATTTCAGTGTGCAATGGTCATTAGATTCTTTAGGATGACACGTGATATTTTTTTTTGTATAATATCTCTCTCGAAAATTCTCTTATGGACATTTTCGTCTGTATTTTCTCTCTTTTAACTGTCAAATATATCTACCATGATTCTTATTAATATCATTGTTATTTGTTGATTTCTGTTGTTTCATTCAATTAAATCAATGCCGTTTAATGAAATTTTCATTCCTTCAGCTATTACTGGCTCAACAAGAGCACAATGCATATCATGCCATCGATATGTATGCAATCGTGTTTTAAAAAAAAAAAGAATCAAAGGTTCACTTACAGTTGCAGGAAAACTGCTTTCTTCTCATAAAATAACTTCTATATTTGTACATAAGAGAGTATTAATAAACTCCAAACACAACTACATATGCCATTCATGTGACGTTAAAGACTTAACAGAATTATTTATTCCAACAAAATCAATTACAAATGAACAATTATCAACGTATTGTGAGAGTTTATCATATATAACAACAGATTTTAAACATGCATTACATTCAGATATTCACCGTTTATCTTATGACTTATTGAATAATGAACAATGTGAATCATTTAGTCGATTAACAAAACATCAAATTCAACAATTAGCAACAGAATATAACTTAAATGAAGAAAATATTTTCTTATTTTACACAAAGTGTAATACCGATAATAGTGATTTTCTTTTTAGTCAAGTATTTGGCATTTCGGATACATCTATTTCTCGTCATTTTAACCAGTCCATTGAAGATCTTTTTAATAGCTTAGTTACGGATCAAATGGGTCCCACCACATGGGACAGAAAAAATATCGATATGCATACACCAATGTTTGCAAAAGAATTATTGCAAGTCAATGTTCAAAATATTGTTGTTTGTATGGATAGCTTTCCTATATACATCGAAAAACTTGGTGACTTTACATTACAAAAATTAACGTGGTCATCACAAACTTTACGCAATTGCATTAAATTCCACTGTATCACAACTTTAGATGGCACATTTGTTGGTATACAAGGTGGTTATGGTGCAACAGGCCATAATAATGACGAAAGTATTATTAATTCATTAACAAATAATAAATATGCAATTGATAATGATGATGATGATAATATTTATCATAATCATATGGCTCAAACTTTTTTTTTCAAAAAGATTTTAAAAAATAATGATATTTTAATACTAGACCGAGGATACACAAGAATGAACAAAAGACAATACCAAATAAAAATACCACCGTCAATTGATAAAGGCAAAACCCAACTGTCAACAACACAAGCCAACGAGTCACGATTAGTTACATGTATGTTTTTGTTTTGTAAAAATTACTTTTCTGAAATAAAATTATGCGTCTTTATTTGAATGGTTTTTTTGTTATAGTTCATCGAAATGTTGTTGAACGCGCCATAGGGCGTTTGAAAAAATGGAAGTTTTTGAAAAATAGAGTGGTACATCAATATGTGGTCAAATTAGATAAAATAGTTTCGATTTTAGCTTCTACGATTAACAAGTTCGATGAACCATTGTACAAAAATTTTTCAAAAAAAAATAAACACGTTAAATTAATATTGGAACATATCAATGATTCTGAAAATGAATTAAAATATCTAATGGATAAAAATCAAAATAATTCTTGGCAATTAACAGCAAAAAATTTAAAAGAAATTATTGATTTCGTAACTAATACGAATTACTTACCAAAATATACACCATCAAAAATTGAATCAATTTCGACAGGTTGTTATGCTATGAAATTATCGAAGCGATATTTTACTAACTCTATCGATTATATGAAGATTTATGAACATCAATCTATTGAAAATTGTATTAAAGTTGTTGGCATTAATTCAAGGTTTTCTTCCGGCATAAAGCATTGTTCAATATTTAAATTTTATCCTAGAAAACTTGAAGATACAAAATTTTATTGTTCTTGTAAAAGTGGTGCACGAACAACTAATCCATGTGCACATGCTTTATCTGTCTTGATGTTAATTCAATCCATTCAAAAGGAATTGCCTCATCTTGAATTAGCAAAAACCACCATTGATTATCCAGATGCTATTAAAAACGAACATTCTTCATCACATTATCAAGCTATTTATAATAATATTATAGACTGTAAAATTTACAAAGAATGGTCAAAGTCTAATGATACATACTGTATTTGTAATGAATCTTATCAAGATGAGTGGATGGCAAAATGTTGTACTTGCCATGAATTATATCATCCTAGTTGTATTGGTCAAGATCAAGAAAAAATTGATGCAATTATTGATAAATGGAAATGTCCATATTGCCAAGAAGATGATGATAACAAATAATAAAAAATGGTTCTTTTTGTAGCCTCTTAGTCATATAAATTATTATTTAGGATTTCTCATAATTTTATTTATACCTTTTCGAAAACAAAAAATAAAATAAAAATTTGTTGATTTGTTCAGTATCAGATCGAGAAATAATCTTCTTCTTTTTGTTTTATAGTGATATGTCAAAACTTGGAATAACTTCGAAAAACATCCTGGTACAATTTAGTGCGATGAAGAAACAACTGGAAATAGTAAGAAGACTTTCATAAGATATTGGTGGATACGTTTACGACTTTTTAGAAAGAATAGAAGGCACAGAACTGTTTTCTTACGTCCTATAGTTTGCATTAGAGAAAAAATTTTAAAGGAAAATATGAAAATCTTCGCATAGTTGGAAAATATGTACTCTTCAACATATGAAAATCACATATCCATCTAACAATTCAGTCAGATAGATGTTGTAAAATTATATACTCTAATGTATTAACAAATCAAATCATTTTAAAAATACTTAGTCTGCCAAAAGAGTAGAAATAGGTACAATATTAAAAGCTTCCAATATTCTACTCAAATTTCTGCCATCATCTTTCAAAAAGGTTGAATCGCTGTGCAAATGAACATTAGTTTTTCTTTGAATTTTTGTATTTATTTGATAGATTATGTGAAGCTATATTATTGGTAAAAATTTCACTGTTCAAATAAAAACCATTGCAAAACTATAAGAAAAACAATCTTTGTCATGCACTGCAAAATAGCAATTTTTTTAAAAAATTTTTTACAAAATCTGGTCCTCGTTAGAAAAGCAATTAATTAAGATAATTTTAATTTTATTTTATAGATAGACATGACCTATATATGTAATAAAATTTTGGTGACAATTGGTGCAGCTATAGAGGAGATATCAATAATACTATAAGGGCGGGGTCAGTAATTTTTCAAAAATGATCCTAACCCTTGAGCATTATTTTTTTCCCTAAAACTAGAAATGTCCAAGGTTTGATTGATTGATCTAATATCCTCACATGAGTCCCAATTAAAAAATATTTAAAAGAAAAAAAAACTAGCGGGGGGGAATAGCCTATGGAAATGGGGGACTTCCTTTTGTAAACCCAAAAATCAGCTAAGATCTCTTGATTGTTCTGATGAATTATCAGATACGGATATTTGAATCTTGCTTTTGCAATCAACAAATTTACCTAGCTCAATATCTTGTATGATGACAACAAAACTAAATAGTCTGAAATGATTTAACACCTCAACTTCGCTCAGTTATTGTCAAAGTAATATGTAACAGGTTTGCTCAGGATAACAAACAAACTTTCATTGAGCCTTATCTGATTTTGAAACATTCCGCCGTCCCTGCTGTGAAGTTCATAATTACATTCCATGCTCATAGCATATTCATGGACTTTCTTCTTCGTTTTCAAAGACAACTTTTTTTCGAACGAATTTTACAGTAAATGAGAAAGAGAGAACAAACAAGCAACTGGGCTGATAAACTCGTATATTTAAGTCGATCTAAATTCTAAGAAACTAAAGAGATTTCTATTGAAACATGATCGTTTTGAGTTTTGTCTAAATAGAGCCATACAACAACTTCTGACAATATATTATATGACTTTTGAGAATCTGAAATGATCTAACAGGAATAGTTCTATTCGAGCAAACAATCATTCATCATATTGCTTTTCATGTGTCGTTTAGTTCCAAAGTGTGAGCTAAGGTTCATATTAACGGCCAAAAATCCAATTGAATACAATTATGGTCCTCGATCTGCCGCCGTTGGTGATTTCGATAATGACACTTGGCTAGATATGGTTGTTTCCAATCATATTGCTAACAATATTGCTGTATATCTTGGATCTAACAATGGTACTTTTTCAAGACCAATCGAACATTCAACAGGCACTGGATCTGCTCCGTACAAGGTCGCCATTGGTGATTTCAACAATGATCATCGATTGGATATCGCAGTTGCAAATTTTGGTACTAATAATGTCGGTATATTTCTTGGATTGGGTGATGGGTCATTCACGAATCAAAAGATGCTTTCGACTAGCTCATCTAGGCCAATTTCGATTAGTCTAGCTGATTTAAACAACGACATGCGACTTGATATTGTCACAGTCAATTATGGAACTCATAGTATAAGTATACTTTATGGATATGGGAATGGAAATTTTTCGGGTCCGACTACATATTTCATGGGTTATGATTCTTTTCCATCTTCATTAGTCGTTAGAGATTTTAACAATGACAAATATTTAGATATTGCTGTTGCCAACTATGGTACGAACGATGTTGGTATACTTTTTGGTAATGCCAACGGCACTTTTGCAAATCAAATAGCTTTTTCAACTGGCTTTGGTTCTCATCCGTACTCAATCACTGCTGGCTATTTCAATGACGATGTCTTCCTCGATATCGCTGTTGCTAATTATGGAATGAATGAAATTGGCGTGCTTCTGAGCTATGGCAATGGAAGTTTTGCAAACCAAGTCACTTATTCTACAGGTTCCTCTTCTCCATATTTTATTGACGTTGGTGACTTAAACCAGGATAATCGACTAGACATTGTCGTCACCAATCACGGTACTAATAATATAGCTGTGCTTCTTGGTTTAGGAAACGGTATTTTTGCCAATCCAATGGTATACTCAACTGGAGCTTCTTCTTCAATATCACTTGTCATAGAAGATTTCAACAAAGACAATCGTTTAGATATTATAGTCGTCAGTAATGACACTGGTGCCATCGATATCCTACTTGGTTCTTACGAGGGCTTTTCATATCGAACGGCGTATTCAACCGGTTCTCTTCCACGATCCGTAGCTGTTGGTGATTTCAACAACGACGATCGACTAGACATCGTCGTTGCCAATTGGGGTAGCAATGATTTCAGCATCCTTCTGGGATATGGTAATGGTTCCTTTACAAATCAAAGCAGGTATGCAATTGACAATGCTCCATACTCTGTAGCTATTGGTGATTTTAATAACGACAATCGACTAGACATCGTTGTCGCCAATGGTGCTGCCAATGAAGTCACTGTGCTTCTTGGACATGGTAACGGTTCTTTTGCAAATCAAATCAAATATTCAACTGGTTCTATTCCACGATCTGTAGCTGTTGGTGACTTCAACAACGACAATCAACTAGATATCGTTGTCGCCAATTATTTTAGCAATAATGTGAGTGTTCTTCTTGGATATGGCAATGGTTATTTTGCAAATCAAACTACGTATTCAACTGGGAGTGGTCCACTGTCTGTAGGTGTCGATGATTTCAACAACGACAACCGACTGGATATCGTTGTCACTAATTATTTTAGCAATAATGTGAGTGTGCTTCTTGGATATGGTAATGGTTCTTTTGCAGATCAAATCACTTATTTAACTGGCTCTGGTCCACGATCTGTAGCTCTTGCTGATTTCAACAACGACAACCAACTGGATATTGTTGTCGTCAATCGTGATACTAATGATATTAGTGTTCTTCTCGGATATGGTGATAGTTCTTTTGCAAATGAAATCAGGTTTTCAAGTAGCTCTGAGCCTTGGTTTCTGTCTACTGGTGATTTCAACAACGACACCCGAATAGATATCGTTGTCGCCAATAGTAATAGTCAAGATGTAAGTGTGTTTCTTGGATATGGTAATGGCTCTTTTGCAAATCAACTCACGTATTCAACTAGTTCTTATTCATACTCTGTAGCCGTTGGTGACTTCAACAGCGACGCCCGACTCGATATCGTTGTCATCAATGTGGATCGTGACTATGTCGATATACTACTCCAATATAACAGAGGAATTCTTAAAAACGAAATGACTTACGCATCTGGTGGTGGTTCTAAACTACGATATGTTATTGTTGGTGATATGAACAACGACGCTCAATTAGATATTCTCGTTGCTAACTATGGTACTAATAATGTAGGCGTTCTTTTTGGATATGGGGATGGCACTTTTTTTAGATCAAATGATGCTTAGTACTGGCTCGAATTCTCATCCGTCCTCTATTGCCATTGGCGATTTTGATGGTGATACTGAACTAGATATTGCTGTGACCAATTACGGTACCAAGACTGCAAATATTTTGCTTGGAAATGGTAAAGGAACCTTTACAAGTCAAACAAGTTATAAAATTGATTTTGTCTCACCTCCGTTTACCATTACTTCTGCTGATTTCAATAATGATAGACGATCGGAAACTATTGTCGCTTACGACGATACTGATAATGTGGATATTCTTGTTGCATACAACAATGTCTCTTTTGAAACGATAACCACGTATATATCTGGCTCTCAGTCACTGTCTATAACTGTTGGTGATTTCAACAACGACAACCAACTGGATATCATTGTCGCCTACCAGTATAGCTATAATATGAGTACACTTTTAGGATATGGTAATGGCTCTTTCTCAAATGCGATTAGATATTCAATTCCTTCTTATCCACAGTTTGTAGCCGTTGGTGATTTCAACAACGACAATCGATCAGATATCGTTGTTGCCCATTTTTATACGAATGATGTAAGTGTCCTATGTGGATATGGTAATGGCTCTTTTTCAAATACCATAACCTATCCCATTGGCTTTCATCCATTCTCTGTAGCTGTTGGTGATTTTAACAACGACAACCTACTAGATATCGTTGTCGCCAGTGGTGATATAAATGATGTGAGTGTCCTTCTTGGATATGGTAACGGTTCTTTTGCAAATCAAATTAAATATTCAACTGGCTCCAATTTAGGATATATAACTGTTGGTGATTTTAACAATGACAATCGACTTGATATCGTAGTCGCCTATGGTAATACCGATAATCTGAAGATCCTTCTTGGAGATGGTAATGGCTCGTTTTCAAATCAGATCGAGTATGCAACTGGCTCTTTTCCACGATCCGTAGCTGTTGGTGATTTCAACAACGACACTAGACTAGATCTCGTTGTCGCCAATACTATTAGTCATGATGTGAGTGTGTTTCTTGGATATGGTAATGGCTCTTTTACAAATCAGATCAAGTATTCTACTGGTTCTTATCTATATTCTATAGCCGTTGGTGATTTCAACAAAGACACCATATTAGACATTGTCGTCACTAATCAAGACACTGCAACTGTGGGTCTGTTTCTTGGATATGGTAATGGTTCTTTTGCGAATCAAATCACGTATTTAACTGACACTTATCCAGGGTCCGCAGCTATTGGCGATTTTAACAACGACACCATACTGGATATCATTGTCAATCATGAGAATACCCAACGTGTCAGTGTCCTTCTTGAATACATTAGTATAGGCTTTGTAAACCAAACTACACTCATAACTGGCAATGGTTCCCGACCGCAATCGCTTGTCATTGGTGATTTTAATAATGATGATCATATCGATATCGGTGTTGCCAATGCAGATTCTCACAATATCGGAGTTTTTCTTGGATACGGCAATATCTCTTTTGCAAATCAAGTAACATATTCAACTGGCTCCAATTCGTCGCCACACTCTATGGCTGTTGGTGATTTCAATAACGATACTCGACTAGATATGATCGTCGCTAATTATGGTTCTGAAAACGTGGGTATTTTTCTCGGATATGGCAATGGTTCTTTTACAAATCAAACGGTATATTCAACGGGCTCTGGTTCGTATCCATTTTCTGTTGCTGTAGGTGATTTTAACAACGACAATATAATAGACATTGTCGTTGTTAATCAAGGTACTAATACTGTAGGTCTATTTCTTGGATATGGGGATGGTACATTCGCAAATTTGATTCAATTTTCGATGAGTTATGGATCTCGACCATTCGCCATTGTTGTTGGTGATTTCAACAATGATACAAAGTTGGATTATGCTGTAGCCAAGGATGAAACTGACAATCTAAATATTTTCTTACAGACTTGCTAAGATGGCAGCTCGTACATAATCCTTTGTATTATTTCTTTGATTCATTGTATCATATAAACTACGCTTATTCTTTAAAAAAAAATAATCAAATATTTCTTGAGTATGAAAGTTGCAATCATCAAAATATGAATGATCATGGAGTTGTTGCACAAGTACACAACAAATGATCTAGTCAGATGATTCACGGTGGTCAAATTTTTGCAAGAGGTCTCTTCAGCATTTGTATAACGGTCTATGATAGTCAGAGAATCTTATAGTAGGATATGGGTGTGGGTGTCTTATTTCGCTACATTAAGACTCGCATCCACAACCTCACACCCGCTGATGACGATTCTGTGTGAAAATAATATTTTCTGAACACTTCTGTGTGTATCGGAGCCGATTTCTCTATGCTATTCTCATTTATCAATTAGTCTTGTTGTGTGAATGCTTCAAATAATGTCGCTCTACACTATGCTTGCACAACTAAATTTTCTCTTGAACGACTGTTAGTGTAGGTATAAATCTTCTTGAAGGACATTCATCAACACAGTCACATCCACATCCATACATTCACAACGACATCCTACAACCACCTACTATAAAAATATCAGCCAAACAGTGACATAGATTGAGCAACGATGGTCACGACTTACGTAAAATATCTCCTAAGCAATAAAGCTATTTTATTCAAAATTAATAAATCACGTGAAAAAATAATTTCTTCCTTTTAGAAAAAGATAAAACTTATTAGTAGTCAATGAGAATGTACTATGTCAAAATCTAGATTAATACAAAAGTCGAAATCTTGTTGCTATCTATATGTAATTAAATATTCTGCATATGTTTGCGCATCATGATAAGTAACAAAAATATGATATCCATCTGTTGTTGAATCGAATCCAAGAGGTCGACTTTTCATTGAACGATTTTCTAGGGTTATTTTCCCAATAAGAACACGAGAGACAAACATACATCGCTCTCTATTAGCATTTGATCTTGTAAAAGCATGACTATAAACTACACTGGATGAAAAATAAACGCCAACACCATATGCTGTCCTACAATGAATATATATTGGAGAGGAAAACACAGAAAAAAAGTAATACTATTGACACCAGTAAAACTTCTATTAAAACAATCTTTGATAATTGAACTGGCTGCATCTTCAGGACAGCCATGATACAAATGTCTTTTAGTATCTATATTTAATCGTTTCTGAAAATCTCTCAAATGTACTAAATATTGCACATACCATCGTTCATTTTGAATTCGTTCAATTTTAATGATTTCTTGATATCTTTTTTTCATTGTCTCATCAAAACTGATAAAAATGGATTTATATTCATCTGTATTTTTCGGTACAGTAAACCTCATCGTATCTTCTTTTGATGTTTGCCATGTTGAAGGTAACTGATAATCGATGGGCTCTTGATTTGATAACAAAAGTTGTGTACAAAATTCATCATAAACGTTGTCTTGATTAGGCTCAATGATAAATTTAATAGACCATGATAAATTTCTATTTTGAATTTGTTATTTCATTTCTTTAACCATTGTTTTAACAACAATATGAACAGGACAGGCATGTTCTCCACATCCAATAGCTAGAAATGCAATTGAAGTAAATTTATATGAAGTAGTATTTTGAATAACATTCCATATGAGATCAATTATTGATTGTTTAAGAGTTTCAGGATTTGTATTAGGTTCCCATTTAAGGAAAAATATTCGTTTGCCAGGTAATTGACCTGATAGAGTTGAAATAATTGATGAGGGTGGATTATTTTTAGCTTCTTCGTCATAAGCATTTTCAACTTCTTTTCCTTCAGCTTCTAGTAAAATTTGTTTTAGATTTTCTGATGATGAACTTCCAATTATAACATCAACCTATCATTGGGGAGAAAACGAAAAAATAGTCAAATTTTGAATTTCATAAATACTATTACTGGTTGTTTTGTAATATCTCCTTTTCAACTTCTATTTTCGCTGGTCCAACTGTTGTTGATACTGGTTTCTTCGTAGCGATTCCTTCTTGTTGTCCAAGTGAATAGATTTGCAGTTGAACTGCATCATACGTATCTGTTCTATCTGGATGAATAACAAATGAAACTTTTATTGGATATTTAGTTAATTGTTGCTGAACTTGTTTAACAAACGTTTAAGCTACAATATCAATTGAACATCCATATTGACCACAACCAATTGCTGGAAATGCGATGCTTTTATAATTTGCATTTTCTGCTTTTCCCATTACATTTAAAACTAATTTTTCAATTGATTGACAAAGTATATTCATATCAGCATTAGCACTCGATGAAACTAAATAAACTACTTTTGATGCAAGTTTACCATTTGTGGTGATACTAATAATAGAGATTGTTGCATTTTCATGAATTTGAATAGGGAAACACTCAGCTAGAGATTTTCCTATTGCTTTAAGAACGCTTTTCAATAAATATATTGATGAACGACATATTACAGTACTATCACTCTAAACAATGTTCGTTTATCAAAAGAATTAAACTTACTTCTTCTCTTAACAGATCACCATGAATAACAGTCAGCAATTTATCCGAGTCTGTTACCTTTATTGGTCGCTACATAAAAAAAGCAAATCATTGTTGTAATAAATAAGATCGTATTCAAAGAAGACTTGATAATTTTTTAAAACTATTCTTCACTTTCTTATTTTTCTAACACTTGTCATAAATCACAACAGAACTACCTCACATCAATACACGAAAATTCCAAAACTATCATTCATAATTCTTTGATGCTCGCATCTCGTTACTTCATTATTTCGCCATCTTGTTATTATTCCAGTGTAACTTGTATAAACTAGTGTGAACTGTGAGAGTTAGAGCTATCATCATACTCCATAATAATAGTATTTAGTGACTTCACATCTGTAATCGTGTTTAACTCACACAAAACACCATAGAATATGAGAAAGACAATCGAAAGAGAATAATGAAAAAAAGAGAAAATAATAAGATTAACAGGAGTGATATCAAAATCGATACATTAATCAAAGATTTCGTTATGAAACCTGTAAACACCCATTCTTATTTCAGTGTAAGCACTTATAACTTATAATAGTAATTTTTTTCTAAAAGTTTGCATAGCGAAGTAAATTAGTAATGATAGAGATAGTACACATGTTTTGATTGACACCCATATTAGATACACTTGTAAACAGTTATAAGTAAGTTACATCATGAAAGTCAACTAGTCATCAGTTATAATTAATACAACGTTCAAATTTATGTTAACATGTTTCTATTCAGAGAGAAAAAAAGAAGATCTGTAAAATTGCTAAATTATTTATACACTTGTTATTTATATTAGCATGAAAAAATAACCAGAAAAAAGAACAATTAATAACGCATTCTTTTAAAAAATTCAAGCGTTGAAACGGGTCTTTTTTTATCATGAAGAGCATGTTAATGTTGAACTCACGAAAAATGTATCAAATAATGCTAGATGAATGCTAATTTTTATTTCACTGCTAATACAAAATTATTAAATTATTTTTTTAACACTAATATAAATGTATCAAAGTATTTTCTTCATTGTACTGCAAAAATATAAGCATTTTTCTAGTACTACTGCTAAGCCAGTACCTCTAACTAGAATATGTTTGCGAAAGCTCTAAATAATGTAGTTTTTTATTTTTGTATATAGATAAAAAATTGTATTTAAGATTTCAACGATGATTAGCAGTGATGCATCGATATGCCACAGTTGCCATTTGATCAACATAAAAAGCGCGACTGGATCAAGTTATAACTTTGAAAAATAATTATTGTTAGAGTTTAAAAGTTGATCAAGATACATAATAGTGTATTAAGATCAGTTCATGTAGATAGAATAGATATGTTGCACAGCTAATTAAAATTTAGAAACATGTAAAATTTCCTTACGATGCAAGAAAAATGACAAAAAATCAGATCAAAAAAATTGATTAAAAAGGTACTATTTTAATTTGATTTTTAGCCTTGTGCTTTTGAGGATGTGGATGTGGATGCTTTTTTTCTTGGCTCAAATTAAAGTCCACAGCCCACCCTTCTTTTTATATGCATGCTGTAATTTGCAGTTTTTTTTAATTTTTTTTTTGTAAAATAGTAATTCGAAAACTTAATTTAGGTCAATCACAACTACAGAAATTTTGTAAAATTTTATAGAAAATGCCAGTTGCAAATTAATAAATTGCACTTTTTTTTTACTTCAAATTTAGAATTTAGTTTTACTAATAGTACAAAGAACTGTAGAAGTTAAACATGCAGATACATTTTGTTTAATATAAGCAGAAAATATATATCTCTTAAAGCAACAAAAAGAACTGTCGCGAACGTGTTCCTAGGACCGTAGACTACGACCTTTTGAAACAAGAACGTGTTGAGCAAGAACGAAACTGTACTGGTAGAGATACGAGGTATTTGAGATTGGTGATGAATCAGAGATGGAACAAGTTCAGAGACATGAGAGACTGGCTGATCAAGTTGTTTTCCTCAAAATAAAAACACGTTCCTTTAATAAGGTGTTATTGAAATGCTTTTGACCTTCTCCTGAAAGGCGTTTTACTACTGAAGAACCATTCCTATAAAGCATTGAAATAATAAGGATAAAAAAATAAAATTGATAAGAACAGAGGAGAAAAACGAAAAATACATTTCAACATGTTTATAAACGGCTAAATCATTTACATCACTTTTTAGTCATTGTAAATATTTTTGTAGAATGAAGATGCAATAATAATAAGAATAATACATTATTCAGACTCAGAATATTTCGATGTACTACATAATTTTAAATAGATCACGACTTATTAAACCTTGAAACACATTTTCAACAGAGATCAGGCAAAAGAACTCACCAAAGCGAAGTATTTATTTCAATCTTTCCATAATGAATTTATATTTTTCTTCGCTTGCCGAAGTGAAAAATGTTATTTTGAATATTTTGTGCAGCTATCATTTGACTCATCGACAAAAAATTTACTTTGCATTTGATTTGTCGAAAATATCATATAATGGGCATTATGTGGATACAATTCTTAATAAGTAAAAAAGTAATATACTAAAGAAAATGCATAGGTAGTTAGCCTTCAATCGTTCCTGTTCGATAAAAATCACGTGTCTTTTGTTTTCGAAGTGCTACAGGAGTGCAGCTACTTTTTTTGTTGTATGATTGTTAAGTTTGTTTTTCTCGTTAAACAATATTCAATACTAGTATATAATAGTCTAGATTTCTTTTTTATCACTTATTAATCATATACTCTTCTACAACTTAGTATATCTATACGATATCCGAAGTCCTTATCCACATACACTTTGTATCGCATACCAAAATCACTGCGTTGTTGAGAATAGTGTATATTCTATAGAAATGCTTTCAACTTTCGTCCAAGGTAATAAAACATATTTTGTTAAAGCATCATTAAAAGATAACATAGTCTCATCACAATGCGGACAATATCAGCAATCACGGCAGTATTTTTATTAGCTCTAGGTACGTGTTTCTTGTTTATGACGTAATAGTTTCTCACATAAAATCAAACAATTTTCTCTCATATTATAGTTTGGGTTATAAATGCTCAAAAATCAATTCATTGGGCAGGATATAAATGGTTTTTGCGTGATGATCAAAATAGTGGACCTGGTAACTGAAGACTACATCAATTTAAGAAAAAAAAAAAACAATATTTTCTGTTTTTATTTTGTATTAAAGGTCCAAACAATTGGAACTCAAATAACGTATGGGTGGATAAAAGTAATAAACTTCATATGAAACTTCGTTATTCACCTAAAAGAGGTGGATGGACTTGTGCTGAATTATACAGCGATGTAAAATTTAGTTTCGGCACTTTTCGATGGTTTGTAGAAGGAGCAATTGATCAATTTGATCCTAATGTAGTATTAGGTCTGTTTACTTATGGAGGTGTTGATGGTACAAATGAAATTGATATTGAAGTAGCTGAATGGGGTCGAACTGAACGAGCAGCATCGAATATTTTTTATACAGTCTATCCACATACATTCGGCATTGCTCAACCAGTATCATCTGGTACACATATATCTCTGCAAGGAACGTACACGACTCATCGGTTTACTTGGACTTCTCATAAGGTTTCTTTCCTAGGACAACATGGTTTTATGACTTCACCAAATAAAAACATTTTCTATTCATATCAAACACCAAGAGGATTTGCAACATCAATACCTTATACTGGTGCTCCTCTACATATGAACCTATGGCTCTTTCAAGGCAAATCACCCATTAATCGTAAAGAGGTGGAAATAATTATTCATAGTTTCAAGCATACTAAAGCATAGTGGTTTAGTGGTCATAACTGTCATTTAAATGGTTGATTTCGACAATAGATATGATCGCTTTTCTCTCAAAATACTAGCATTTCATACTTTTCTTTTTTTATTTTCTATAAATCTCAAAACATTTATGAATAATAATCTATTGACCATTCTTAAAAAACATTTGAAGTTTCGTTTAAAATCCCGTCATTATATAAACGAGTTCGTTGTTATTATCTCATCATTGGAGCCTTCTGTTATAGTGGACAGGAAATAATATTAGCTCATCTCATACCTGTTAGCTAAACGAGAGCTTATATTGAAAGTTTTGATGGATTTTTCACTGCTGACATGAAATCGATCGGTGGAAGTAAAATTTAATTTGAAAGGTAATTACATATATTTCAATAAAAAAGTTCAACCCATTTCTAGTGAAAACAAAGGAAAAAATCTTATCTAAAAAGTTCAAAATAATTTTTTTTTGTTTATTTATTTTTATTGTAATGAATCGAACAACTAAGAAAAAAAATCATGAAACATTAACGTTACGTGTTTCGTTGTATAAACTATTATAATAATTCTTGTTGAAAAATGTCATTCTCATAGTTTATATCGTTTGCGTTAGTTAAATTTTAGGGATCTTTATCAGTTTCGAATGTAGTTTGTTTGACTTTTGAATAGCGAATTTAAATCGAAATTTTACATTAGAATATGGGTTTTTAAGTAAATCTCTTTCAAATTTTGCTTCTCTATGGAGTCTTCTCAGTTGCGAACATTTTTCATTCATCGTTATATCAATATTTTCAACTCGTGGTATTATACGGATGTGAGTGTGGGTGTGGGTTTTGATTCGAGCATGGGTCTTTAGCAAATCCTACCATCACACCGGCTCACAGCTACACAGCTACACTCACACCGATACCCTAATGTGCTATACTATAGAGTGCACGAAAAACCTTCTATTTCTTTAGACCGGTGAAGTGAGTCAATAACAGTTCTGGCGAGGTAAAATGATGAAGAAAAAACGAGTTAACCGATTTCATTTTTTGCTAGCAGCGCTCTTACGTCAATCGACAGAATATCAAGTTAAATAAGGGTGTGAGTATGGGTATGGGTTTGCATGTGCGCGTCGGCATCGGGTCTAAGGGTTGGTGTGCGTGTGAGACAAAAAGATATAGACCCACCATGGACATGTCCATGTTGCCAATTATGTGACTGAATCTCTTCAATAACATACTTAAAGACTTCATCATTCATAGTAACATTAATCTATTCTTCTTCTCTTTGTCACCCTATTTGTTGTTCGTTGCTTCTCTTGCTATGATATCATTATCTTTTGCATTCATCGTAGCCCACTTCCTCACTTCAATGGTAGCTTTTAGTCCATCAGTGCTGATTTCAGTTTCATTTCTTCATGACAAATTTTACCATAGTCTTATTCATACGGATCGCTTTGTTTTTTTTTCTTTCTTTCCCGCTAGCGCATCTGCTTCTAATAATGTTCACTGTTCGCTTCAATGGGGAACATGCACTTTTCAATGGTCATGATACGTCATTAGCTAGTGTATTGTTTCCTGTATGCTCCTATTCATTGTTCTGTCTTATCCATTATTATGCAATCCATTCTATTGTTTAATTTTTTTCTCTGTTAGTACTGCTCTTCACTTTCGATCATTCCCTCTCGAAAAAAGAAAACATCATTGATATGTCACTGAATGTCAAGGAGAGAGGACGTTTTCGGAAAAATGTATATGCAGTGCCTGTTTTGTTTTCTGACTGTTTACTTTTCCGTTTAGTTTTTTTCGCTTTTATCTGTTTGAAATAAAGAAGTGAAATATGGATCCAAAGAGTAAAGAATAGGATATCAACACCCACATCTAGACTATACGACTTATATTCCACGTTATGTTAATAAAAATAATTTGTTTTATAGTTCACGTAAAGTTTTATGTTAATTTATTCCGGCAGTGTTGATAAATTAGGATTAAATTCAAACGCTATCCATACATCATATGATTGCTGTGATGCAGAAGCACAGCGGCGCCGCTGTGGCTTCGTCTTAAGCATCGATTTGTTTGTAGCTTGAGCTTTGGAACCATCAATAGCTAGGCTTCTTGCAGACGGTATTTCACTGCATAGGGACTCGGATGAATTGTTGCCACCAGACTGCCATTTGTGCCAAGGATATACAACTGTACCATCTTCTCGTAAAACTGGTTCTTTTCTTGCATTGATATCCCAGAGAGGGCCATGTTCATGAAACGATGGTACGACTAACTTGACAAATTCATCGTCAGATGTTGTTAATGGATCGTAAGGATCTGCAGAACTTTTGAGATAATGCATACCACTATTTCCATTTCCATTCACGATACAAGCATGAACTTCGCAAAAGCGGTCCGTATTATGATTGTGCACACCAGCATTAGTACCTTTTCCAGCAGCCCATAATTGAATATAACAAAGATGTTCATTATTGTCAGCAAACTTTATGTCAAAGCCTCTCATATTATAAAATTCAAGACCTTTGAATTTCTCCTTTCCCCATTCAAGTTCATCAACTTTGATAAATTTAAAACCAACTTTACGAGCTTCTTCTGGATAACTTTCAGGTAACGAATTCTCGATCATAACCTTTTTAATATCATTGAATCGAGGAATATCATATGTGTCTTTAGGGAGTTGTAATACAATAAAAATTGCACCTTCACTTCCAGTTTTTATTCTGTTGTCATCACTATGTATTTCAAGAGAACAAACATTTTTTGGTTTGCAGAGAAACGTACGCGAATGGTTCATTGGTTGCTGAGATTTATTGGAGGAATCTTTCCATGTTATGATTCCCCAAAGAACCTTGATGTAAGTATTTTTTCCAACTTGACGCGAACTATAAGGTGGTAAAACTTCTAACGATAAAGTTATATTTCCGATTGTTAAAAACGGGAGTACATGATATTGTAATATTTGGTTTGGTCTTGGAACTGAGAATAAAAGTTCATCGTTTTGCTTTGTCACTTGTAACTTATTTTTGACTTCTAGTGTTTTGCTGCCTAATCGATTGTAAAAAACGTTAATTGAAGGATTGTTTGCCAAGTAATAACCAAGAACATAATAGCCTACTGTTGCAAAATCAATAAAACTATCGTTATCAAAATCTGCAAGGGCGATTCTGGCAGCAGATACATCACTAATTTGCCACTTGGCAAATAAACCACGAGAGAGATCAATAGGTTTATAATAAAAGACACCTTCATACGGAGTTGGTCCACGAAGTGCCACTAAAAATTCATCATCTCCATCTTTGTCAAAGTCAGCACAAACGACATAATGAGCGGTACCTTCGCCATTTTCGTTAGGATGTCCATATACATCAAGGACATGTCTTTGCCATTGTACCTGTGTCAATGAATTGTTAGCAGTTTTGGTGTAGACGGAAATCACATTCCCATGAAAAGGTTCAATTGCAGCAATATAAGCAAAAGTGTCGCTTCCGACTTTTCCAATAGCGACACCACCACTGCCGTAGTAATTTGTCTGCTGTTTTTCTTCCTGTTCACCATCAGCAATTTTCTCAATAATCCACTCTCTTGAGTTTTCATTATAATAAAGCCAACTAAGTCCTTCTCGTGATGCAATAAGAAGTTGATCCAACGAATCAACTTTAAACATTGTAGCGTCATGAATTAAATGGAAAAATTCTTCATCAATAGTTTCACAATCCCATGCTGTAGCATTTAGCAGATTATCAGGCTGTCCACATAACAACACGGGTACTGGTACATCAAATGGTCCATTTACGATGGGCAGACCTATAATCTCCCAGCGTTTGGTTTGCGTGAAATGACCAATTTTAAGTCTATGCATTGTCGCTGATCTTCCAACATAATGCCGTTTCCATGGTTCTGTGCTATTTTTCTTTCCTGGATTTTCTAACCATACGATGTATCCTCCGTTAGGATTGAAGTCGATTATTGTATTTCCATAGTCAAAACAAGCAACAATATCTTGAAATCCATCGCCTGAAATATCAGCCTGTGTCATACCATTAGGAGTGATAAGTTTTTGGATTTGAAACGGCTTGGTTTTTTCTGTATTTGTGTAGGGATTTGGGTAAACTTTGAGTTCTCCACGACCCAGTCCAAATGCCACGAACCCAACAGGAGTCTGATCGTCGAGTTGAAAAGTTTCAATCCAGTATCCATCATCAAGGTTTTCCTCGATCATTTGCTTCTCAAACAAAGGACTGTAGCTGCCATTATCGTATTCATAAGATGAAACGCGCGATAGGCGCAAGAACATAATAAAACACAAGATATAATGTATTATATCCATCGTAGTTAACCGTATTAGATGAATTCTCAATTATGAATGGAAAGTAGTGAAACAACATTTATATATGCAGTCAAATACTACAGTAAATTAGAGATGATGACGAGCGCAATTTTTTTCTTTTTTCTCCAATTTTCATGTTGCATCGAGAAGGGCCCCATAATCCCTTGTTAAAATACAGTGGATCGGATTACCATAATTATAGACAGTATTCAAATCGTGCAGAAGAAAGGAAGTAGTACTAATGGTTCGATGACAATCAACCCACTCATAATAATCATATTCAAAAATGCAAATGCATTCAGCTAAACAGATTATTAATCTTAATGAGGTTATAACTTTGTTTTTTTTTCATGAATATATTAAGGGTATCTTTTCTTTCACTATAATTTTACAAGCAGTTTTTTTAAAATATTTCTGTTTTCTAATATGCTATCATTAGTACGGTTTCTATGTATGGATTTTGTACATGTTTAAAAGCAATTTTCAGACAATATAAACTGTATATGCCTGTAGGTGTGTGGGAGTGGGCATAAAGTAGGAATGTGAAATTTCTCTCCTACGACAGCCACACGCACCTCCATTCTCCAGACCGGCACTTACACCCACACCTATACTCACACACGCACGGTCTTGTCTAATTTGATATTCTGTCGATTGACATAAGAGCAGTGCTACCCGAAAAGAAATCGCTTAACTCGTTTTTTCTTCATCACTTTACTTCACCGTGGCTGTTATTGATTCACTTTACCAGTGTAAAGAAATAGAAGGTTTTTCGTGTATTCTATAGTGTAGCACACGAATAAGCCTGTCGAGAGTATGGGTATGGATATGAGTGTGATTGCGTATTCCGATGTATGGATATACGTGCGGGTGAGTGTGGTGTTAGGATTCTTCATAAAATGTCCATGCCCAAACCCAAATTCACACCGCTTCAGACTCACGCACATCCACATCCAACCGTTTTTCAATATCATATGCAGATATTACGGCATAACTATTGTTTCTCAATGCATTTTCTTTTACAACCATGCATGCACCAACATGTAAAGTTTATTAGCTTTATCAACCTTTTTGAAGAATTCAAATAAAGATATCGATTATCGAGATATCTCAATTTATATGCTTTTGAATACCTTGTTTTTCAGTCAACACTGAGTAACACACTGAAGAGCATCGAGGAAATATTAAGCTTATTGATGATACAATGCTCTTGCTTTTTATGAAGAAAAGCATCTTGACCTTCAGTCTTTTCAATGTCTACGTATGGCACAGTTTTTTTTCAACTACCGTTAAGAATTCGAATAGTATATTTTGCTGTATTCCTGCACACCAGACTTGTCTTAGTGTTATGACTTAGTGCTGGATTTGAAGGCAGTGGCAGATTTCTGTTTAACCCCTTGATGAAGATCATAAACTTCTATGTATATAGTCAATTCTAGAAGAGTATCTCATACCTATGCCGTTTTTTCATGCGAATATCAAGTCATAAATGAGAAGAAAACTTTGCTGCAGATGTATGAAGAGATACCATTCAAACTCAAATATTTGTATGCATAATTCATACTCCACATTCAAGCAATAAAACGCTAGAATATGCAACGCTGCAAAAAAAGCCAAAAGTATGTTTCGAACAAGATTAGCTTTTGCTGAAAGAAAAGCAACGTTACGTATTATGTGTTTTTTTTTACAACATTTGTCACTAAATCATCATGATAGGAAGAAAAAGCCAGAAGGTATCATAAAAAAGAAAAGCATCATTTTAGAAGCTATGTTGTGATTAAATCTCTATATTGTCGTGTTCGGGGAGAAAACCAATATACTTTTTATTCGGTGGATTAGTGACTAGTTGTTCGTCAAAGTATTTCAATCACTGGATTAGCAAAATAAATTTAACGTTATATTTATCATAGCATTTGGGTGAGTACCTTCAATTTCTTCCTTGCATGTATTGAAACTTGAAAAATGCCTCGATATCGATAGGCCAGGTATCAATGATCATCAGTAGTAAAGCATGAATGTATCGATTGACATACTATTGGGACAAGTTAGTTTCTGCACAAGTAGATGGACTTTAGAGTAGCTCTGATATTCAAAATGTCATTACGCGTCAGTATAGAAGCTGAGCGGGAATTCAACATATAATATATTTCATTGCATGCCGTGCGAACAGACTAAAAAAATTGAATAACTTTTTACATAAATCGCCGACTTAGCTGTGAGTATTTTTCTTTGTCTTAGTTCGGCTCTAGTGAGAAATTTCCTTCCACCTTATCTTAAAATCTTTCTTGATTTTTTTTCGAAAACGTATCATATGACTAGGTGCTTTGTAAACCGTGTTCATTTGAAAACACGCAAATAAACTCATAGTGGTCGTTTTGAAGTACACTATATCAAAAGAAGTGAAATGTAAAAGAAAATTGAGCTCGGTCGCCGCCGATAATAGCATCTATCATGACTGTTTCGATTCCGATCTATCTGCAGTCAGAATCAACACTGAACTGAGCAGAATTATCGATTCCAAGCAACTGTATTAATGAATAACATTGCTTAGAAATATTGACAGTCACCACAGCAACCTTCACGCCAATCAAAATCTAAAATTTCTGGCCATACATTTTGAGAAAGTGTCATGCGCATAGTAGCTTTGGTGCTACGAATTCATGAATAAATCCTAATATAACGATGAAGATTAGGCTTGTCTACTATTTTGTCCTTACCATACACTTTACTCTTGCTCTAAGTTTTGTCCTTATCTTGTACTATGGTATTTCATACCGTTATATTGTTTTTCTTGCTTAGTTTTGATGCTTGCGTAAATAAAGCGTAGAACATTTGTATGTAGGTGCTGTTAGCGTCCATGATGATTCACTTGGACGCTAAACGATGATTAAGATGCGCCTTCTAGTCTAATTGGCTTAGGACAACTGCCCGGATAGCAGAAGGTATGGGTTCGAGTCCCATGAAGGTCATCTTTTTCATCGTTCTGTCACATAACATCAGTGACACTGCTTGTCTCTTTCGTTCTATACATATTGGAGCTAACAGGTGCGATTTATGATATGAAGAAGGCAAATAAAGTGTAACTCCATCTTCACTAATCTTTCTTCTATCTAAAATTCGGTAAATCTAGGAGTCTCTTTTTAACCAAAACCATATCAAAATCGAATTTGCTACAATATTCTTTACTCAGAGCTTCAAATGCGATGGAGAACAATTTTTAATTAAGAAATAGTACGGTTTCTCGTGTCAATTGGTATGAAATCAACTAGATGCTTTCCAGTGAATGATCGACTAGATAAAACAGCTAGCTAGCTTGATTTTTGTAAAGCAAATCTTGTTACTCGAAATCATCTACCAGTTGAGAGAAAATAAAGAAATAAAAGAATTCTATCCCTCTTGCGAATGTTACTCAGGTACGCTTTAAAAATGAGTCAAATTTTTTTTCTTAATCAGAATCCACATGTACACTCTGAACTTTACTGCGAAAACTCGAGAAAGAGAAGCGTCTTCTATGTACAATAGCATTTCTTTCAGACAAGAATATGACTACCGTCGTGCCAAAGCAACTGAATATTTCGAACAAAGAATCACTTCAAGCAGTACAAATGTTTTTGGTAAGCTTTTTACTTCATGTAATCATAGAGAAAAAGCAACTTCATTTTTCAAGGAAGCACATTTTCCGGAATCACTTCAGTTATGGCAATTACTCAGTTATTTAGAACGAGGTCTGATCACCGAAGAACATATTTGGCCATATGAATTGTTTGTCAATGATCCAGACCGAATAATATGTGTTGTACTCATACATTCCCCTTTTGGCTTTCCGTCCAATGATTCACTGTTGGATGAGAAGAAGGAAAGAAGTATGAAACTTGTGTCATTCTTTTGTGAAAACAATCATGATCAATTACTTATCAGCATATTTGAACTATGTATTCCGTGGTTAAAAGTAGAAACGATCATATTCTGCGCTAATGCCCATCGGTTTTCAGCAACTATTGAAAGTCTCGTACGCGAGAAAAATTTTGGCGATTTAGTTATAACACCTCATTTTCAAATGGAAATTGATCAGGCAACGTTGGAAGAGAAGAAAAAGCAAATTATGCAAAGTTCTTCATCAAGTACGTACATATTGTTTGCTCATCGAAAAAATAGAACTCAACAGTCAGATGTATTCCTTGTAAATGTAACGACTACATGAGACGAAATTTTAGCTTCTGGATGATGAAACAGTTCACTTGATGCTTACGAATCTCTAAAGAAACAGCGTGTTTAATATTTTGTTGCAAAATATTTTCTGATCATGTCTCTAAAATAAAAATCTAATGATTTTTGTCTTTATCAATCGTAGAATTTCGATAGTTTCCTCCATTTATTAGAGCAGTCATCATAAGAACACTCGTAAAATTTAGGTCGCATGTATTTAGATATTGTCATACAACGTTTGTCAAAAAAGGATGCATCATTAGTTGATGATTTCTGGACATATAAATCGCCATCGTCATTCAGTCGTATTTTATATCAAATTGAGCATTTACCATCGTTCGGTAAGTGTCATATAATCGCACAGAAGATAACATAAGTATTCTGTATTGCTTGTTTCTTTTTCACAGGTGCATATCTTGATGGACGGTTGGTGAGTTGGTGTTTAACACAATTCAACGGTTCCTTTGGAATGACGTTTACACTACCTGAAGTTCGTCGACTTAGCCTTTCAACCTTAGTAAATGTATATTTGGCCTCGGAATTATTCAAGTTTCAAGAACATGTGTTCTGCTTTGTCGCATGTAGAAATGAGGCATCATATCAGATGCTAAATAAATTAGGCTATCGTCAAACATGTGCCACTGATTGGGTTACTGTGGAATCGAAATAAAAATAGAAACTTTCGAAAATGCTATCATAGAGTCTTTCCCTAACGAAACGATATTTTCGCGAGCTAGTTCAAATAAGTGTTTGTCGAACAGAACATCGTTTGATTATTGAAATTGACGAAAAATTCATTTTTGGATTTTTCTGATAACAAAAGCCTAGTTGGAAATTGTTATGACTATACCGTGAAAAGATACTAGAGTTTCTGAATATTTGTTATTCTCTCTGTCAATTCACACTGCATATTCATACCCTTACCATCAAGAAAAGAACGGCCACTTTTTTTACTCTTCTTCGCATTTTGTGTATGTGCAATTAATTTGATCTTGTCGAAGAGAACACACATTGGTCAACACTTCAATGGCCTTCATTATTGGATCAAGATTTAAATTAGAAAAAAGGGTGCAAAATTGTCGAGCCAAAAGCAATATTCAATTGTCAGGTATTTTTAACAAACAAGAGAATTGAAAGAGCCTCATTTGGCGAGGGCTGGACCATATGTTCCTATCAAAGAGCTATCGTTCCGCGTCAAGCAGAAATGCTTCAACCACATAAAATCAGCAAGAAACGCTTTTTCACAAACACACTACCTTCATTTGGCCACATCACTACAAGAGAAAACGAACAATAACAAAAAGAACTATTCCATCCATGTCTCCATTCACAAGCAAAAGTTTAAAAGACTTAGAGAGAAATGGATCATTTGACTTTTTTCATCCTAAGGGTTGTTTCTCGTAAAAATGGACTTTTTCTATTAGAAATGGTTATTTTTCCAGGAGAAATGCTTCATCCATATCTCCATTCACAAGCAGAACTTTTAGAAATTGTTATATGTGAAGGAGAAGTGCTGGATCATGTCTCCATTCAGAAGGAGAGGTCTGAAAGACTTAGAGTTTATCTTAAGAAGATCTTCTAGCAAATGTCGATTTTTACTAGCAGAAATGATTAAAATATTTCTGCGAAGTGCTTCATCCAGAGATGGAACGGGTACCAGCTACCGGTCGGTAATCAGTAAACCGACTTGTCTAACCTTCTCAGACCACTATCAGTTCTAGTTGTCAAAAGTTCAGACTAGGTCCTTCTCTATATCATGTATGTGATACAACTTGGCAAATAAAGTCTGTCACGCGATAAACCATGTTCTTTATATCTAAACCACTTTTTTTTCTGATTGTGAATTATCAATGTATCATGCATTACCGATAGACCGGTTCCACCTCTGGCTTCATCTATGTTTCTGCTATTAAGAAGAAATAAAAAATATTCAAAGAGATATGAATAAATTTCTTTTTTTATCTTAAGAACATCTTCTAGCAGATAGCAATTTTTTCTAGCAGAAATGATTAAAATATCAGGTGGAGTATTTCATTTATTTTCCAACTAATAAGAAGAAATGGAAAATATTTAAAGAGAAATCAGTAATTTTTTTTTCTGAAGAAGATCTTCTAGCAGACATAGACGAGATTCTTTTTAATGATTATCTGGTGAAAATATATTTTGCACAGTAGAGATAAATTATCTACGCAAATGGATCAATAATGAAGGCTTATTACCCAATGAACAAAGCGGCTTTAGACCAGATCATAGCATGGCGGTTCGTATTATCGCCATCACCGACCAGATAGGTCAAAATCTTGCCAAGGATAGGACGACCGCAGCGTTCTTCATAGATTTCAGGTCAGCCTTTAACCAGCTCTGGTTTTGTGGCTTATGGTTGAAATTTAAGCGTTCCGAGTGTCATCTTCACTTAACTGCATGGCTTCGCCACTATTTATCAGGTCGAATAGCATATATTGATATTAAAAATTCTTGATCAAACAATTTTCCATTAATGAAAGGTGTTCCCCAGGAGAACTGCACTGGGCCAATACTATTCATTCTATTTCATTATGATATTCTTGAGTCTTCATCAACCATACATTGGAAACATTTGTTTGCAGACGACTTAACCTTTCTGTTTTCTTCTTCGTCTATGCTATTGTCTGCTACTATGATATTATCGTTAACTGAGCAAGTCGAGAACGTACTAAAACAATTAATAAAATACTCATCTACATGAAAACAACCGATAAACTTTAACAAGACACACTGGATATTATTTCACTGTCAGGTGACTCCACGAGTTCCTGACATTATCTGTAATGGTCACTTTGTTAAACACATCAAAAATTTCAAATACTTCGGCACGTTTCTGAACGCTAAAGTATCATTTACTACACATATCAATTATATTAAATCTAAAATTAGAACCAATCTAAATATTTTCAAACGTCCAGTGGTCAGCAGAATGATGAGCAAACGAATCAGCTAGTCTTTACAACGCATATATTCGACCTTACTATCAATCTTTATTAAACATATTTCCTATTCTTACTACAACTAAACACAAACAAATTGATGCTTTGAATCGTCAGAGCTTCAGAACTATCCATCGATAGTATGATGCAAGAAATGTAGAGATCCAAAATTTACCCAAGTATCAATCAATTTCCAAATTAGCCGACAACCATTGGAATAAATTGATAGATACAATAATTAGTACAAATCCAAATGTGATTGAATATTTCTTGCAACATAAATTATCTATTTTATATTTGCAAGAGTATTTCACTAACTCATTACTTATAAAGGATAGAAGAAACATTTTTGGTAAAGGTAGAATTTGTAAGCACATCAAAAATCTTTTAAAGGAGGTAAACTGTCACTTTTTGATCATGTCTTGTGCTTCTAAGTTATTTAAACTTATCATGCTATTGTTATTATCACTATACTTGCTTATCATGATGTTCTTTTTTTTCTCTCTTCATTTGAGCATATCTCCTTATAAGTGAGTCTTCTGGTTTTTTTCTGCTACAGGAGCGAGTTTCGCTCATAGCTGGTGCTTTGTAGACATTTTATCTTGCATTTAAATAAAGCTTTACACTAACTAACAGTAGAAATATAATTAATTGTCATGAATCGAAATATTTCTGATTGATGCAGATTCCTAGTGTTTTAAATTCAAGTACTAGGTTGGAAAAAGTATTTTGATACGGGGGTACCGCTATATTTCCAAATAGAGTTAATAATGAATTTCATACCAAATGAAAGCTCGTGAAAAATGGGATTTATTGGTACTAAAAAATAGGGGTTATGAAAACTTTCGTATGTTGAAATGTCGAAACTTAGGAAATTCCACTGATCATAAGTGTGAGAAAAGTTATTGATGAGATAAAGTTCGAACTAAATGTGATACAAAATTCTTTATTTTTTCATTGTTTAATGAAAACAATCAATAATCAGTGTGACGACCGTTAGCGTTCTTTACTGCACGTAGTCGAGATGGATACGAATATAGAAGAGTTTGAAATAAATCAGTGTCGGTTTCCATGTTTTTCAAAACATCTGAAATGTGCATTTTGAGTGGTTTCGTCAAGATAACGGGAATGTCCAGGTTCTGATAACATCTTTTTTTCAACTTCATCCTTGATTATTGTTCCAATATGTTCTGCAATATTGAGATCGGGTGAATTTCCAGGCCAAATATCATTACCCCAAAATTTAACATCATTGTCTTGAAGCAAATGTTGGGTCTGATATGCTCGCATACATGGTGCTTTGCCATGGACAAATATAACTTCATCGGGATCGATAACATTTTCTTCATTTTTTAAGAATGGAAAGACGTGTTCAGTCAAAATTATATCACGAAAACATTGACCAGTCCAAGATTCACCTTTATCTTTAATCACCGAATGTAACCTCTTAACAGTATATATCACAAAAATTCCAATGCATGCTTGATTTTTACCCTAGAGAATATACTGAGTTAAGGGTACCAAAAAAGTACCCTGATACCAGTATGTCACAGGAACTTTTGGGTACCAAAGTACTTGCAGGTGTGGACAGGTACCTAAGTGGTACTTTGGCAAGTACCCTGCTGGAAAATGCACAGTAATTGGGTACCTAAAGGTACTGATCAAGTACTGAATTGGGTACCATTGTATAGTATTTCTAAGTACCCTGTTACCAAATTTTCAGTATGCTCAGGATCGGACCTGATCTTTGACTTTTTAAAATTTTTTCTTTTTCTTGAGATAATTTACTAGATTTTTTGTTTTACTTTATTCAATTTAATTTTTTCAATTCCAAAAACTTAGCAGGAACAATGTCGGGATCCGACTCAACTTGAGTTGGTCGTAGACCACTTCAGGGTAGTCCGATCTTCATTTACGACCAAGCTCGGCATTTCCTTGACTAAGAAATAGTCAAGAAATAATTTAGAAAAAACTAGTATGAAAATTGATTATTTTCTTATGATTTATCGAGTTATTTATATAGAGCCGTACGTAAAAAAGAAAACGGCGAATGAATAGTCGCCACACAGAACGCGAAAAATTTAGGATACCCTGTCGAAATTTCCTCAGTAAAGTTACAGACTTGTGTATCCATGCAGGTACTTATTCAGTGAATGTACTTTTACGGGTACCCCAAATAGTACATACATCAGTAAAATTACTGAGAATTTTCAAAGTACCCATATTGGGTACCCTGCTAGAGCTTTCTCAGTACATGGGTATTCTGAACTCAGTACTTTCTCTAAGGTAATCATTTCACGATAACGTTCATCTACTTCCATGTCGTCGACACTTTTTGCCCAAATTCGGTTGTTCTGATAATTTGGTCGACGAACAACTCAGGCAAAAAAAACTCATCAGATGATGCGAGATGAAGAAAATCCTCTTCAGTCCAATCTTTTCATCAATCGCAGAGCCATAATCGATTTGATATGTGAGTTTCAGATTTTAGCGGTTTTGGAATAACATGAAATGGTTTTAATCCTTCTCTATGACGGTAATTATTAATTGTTCTTCGAGTGACATACTCTTGTTACTTTTCTGCAGTCTCCTTCGCCGCAACAGAACAAATTTTTCTTTGTTGACCACTCGCTTTAAGAATGATGTCTTGACTTGCTTGTGATAATTTAAGCATTCGAACGGCATTTGAATAATCAGCAAAACATTGGTCATATGGTTTTTTCCATCAGTCTGTGACAAATTGAGCCGAACGATGAACTTTCTTCGCAACCCAATGTCGATTAATAAATGTTGCACCAGCATCTCGAGCTTCACGAAAAGCAATGCATTTAATTCTATCAATAATTCTTTGCTCTTCAGTATGATAAGTACCAGCCATTTAGAATGACTAGATTTAATTGATGCACCGAAAGGATAGATTTTTTATGAAAGATATTGATCAGAAAATGACCTTATATACTGCTTCATAAACTTCTCGAACTTTCCTGTTCTCTAACTTTCTAAGACAAGAAAAATAAAAGTCTTTTTTCTTCACCGTCATCACAAGTAATAGACAACAGAACGCAAAAAGAAAATTGCATCTTCTGAATCATAGTAATGTCTTATGATCACCAGAACAGTACTCTTTTCAATTTTTCCAAAAACTACTTCCTTTTTTCTTCGTCTTACAACCTGCTACAAATGAATTATAATGATTGCATTATGCAAAATTCTTTCAACTTCGACAGTTTCAACATACGAAAGTTTCCATAACCCTTATTGTTTAATATCAATAAACCCCATTTTTCACGGGCTTTCGTTTGGTATAAAATTCATTATTAACCCTATTTGAAAATATAGAGGTACCCCTCTATCAAAATATTTTTTCCAACCAAGTACTCTTTTGGGCTGAAATTTCCAGACCTATTCAATCATCATGAGATCTATCTATCGGCACAGCTTTAGATCGAAACTTTGTATTTGAATTTTTCTTGTAAATGCCTTGCTATAGGTCGAAAACCTACTAAAACAGTCATAACTTAAAAAGGACAAGAAACGGAGACGAACCCTTTTAAGCTTCTTCTAGTTTTATTGAGTTCTACTTGTGCACCAAATTTGAGCTCGATCGATGATTAACGCTTGGATATGTTCCCTCGTTAGCAACAAATATAACGTTATTGTGCTTGATGTCTTCTTAGATACTGTCAGAACAATGATTTAACGTGTCTCAGTTGATCGTTTCGCTATATATATATATATATAATGTTCAGTGTCTGTCGGTCTGTCGGTTTCTCTGTGCCGGATCAAGGGTCAAAGGTTAAATGTCAGAGATTAAAGGTCACATAAGACTATAAGGGGAAGATCTTCAGGGGCTATTATATGGGGGTACCCATAGGTCCTCAAGGACAATCCTATGGGAACCCATAGGTCCCCAAGGCCTATTATATGGATGTACCCATAGGTCCCCAAGGGCTATTCTATGGGGGTACCCATAAGTTCCCAAAGGTCTCCAAGGCCTATTATATGGGAGTACCCATGGGTCCTCAAGGGCTATCCTATCGGGGTTCCCATAGGTCCTCATGGGCTATCCTAGCTGGGTACTCATAGGCCTTCAAGGGCTATTAGATTGTAATACCCATAGGCCCTGAAGGAAGTAAGGCAATTAGGAGATAAGGCTACAAGGCCGAAGGCCACAGGAACTATAAAAATATGTACGATATGAGAGTATGAGGCCGTAGAGCTATCTATCTATATACATAATATCGAGTGTCTGTATGTACTTTATCGGATGAAAAATTAAATGTCTGAGGTCATGCGTTAAAGGAGAAAACAGCCGTGCAGTATGCGCGGGTTTTCGCTAGTATATGATAATGGCCCGTTCATTTTAAAGAACTGCCTTTCACTTCTTGAAGGAATATAATTAAAAACAAATATGTCCAATTCTGAAAACATGATTCCATCACGGTTGGACAGAGTGATTTATCATAATATCTGGAGGAGGAATCGTTGTCACACTGATGCCTCTTTTTGATCTTTTATGTTACGGTAACTCATGAACAGTTGAATATGCTGAGTCAAAATTTTTACTGTGAACTATAGAGATTGAGACACACCTTTCTTGAACGTTTCAGCCTCCGGTACTTAATTTTGACGTATTCCTTGTCTCGTCGTCGTGCTCTTTTAGCAGTGCATTAGACATCTGTGATTTTTCGATGAAAGGAACTATTTTTTTATGCGAAAGCTTGCTACAAAGCAAAAACAACATCATTCACGAGCAAAACAAACCTCAGGATAAATTTCAGCCACTAAATTGATGTCGATTACTTACATTTTGAATGACTTAGTGCATTGATAATGCACTTGTTTCAGCTTATGTTTGTCCGAAAGCCAATTCTGGATTTCATTCTAAGCGTACATACTTACGCCGTTCGCTCGATTTACCAGTATTTGTCTTCATATACCAGAAGAAAAATTTTTCAAAAATGTTGAATGGAGTTGTGCATCTAGAAAAAATTAGGCTTTCATTATATTTAATCCCTATATTAAACAGTAGACAGTGTCAAATCAGACATAACTATCGATCAGTGTGTTGTCGCGTATATTTATTGACAAGCATGTATCGATATGAATCATTTTGTACAAACATGATGCTCAATTTATGTTTCATATATTTCATCTGTTCATCGGTTTCTGTTCAAGGTAATCGGTATCATTTGATGACATTTGTATTTTCATTGAATATTTTCGACTTTACTAGGCCAAATGGTACAATATCAGGCTACATGTTCGGCTCCATTATGTACCAATGTGTATTCATGGCCGGGAAGTTCTGGTTACAGTTGTCCTACAATCTCAACGTGCTACAGATTACGTACATCGACAAATGGAACTATATGTGTACCCCAAGGAGTATGTCGTTTGTTCGATACATGCATTAATGGCACACGCTGTACATCGAATTTAACGACATGTGTTGTTGATAGTTGTTGTTCAGTACCTATTTGTATACCATTAGCATTGACCAGTCTTTGCGATCAATCAACTCCAACGGGTCCAAGTAATGAAACTCATTTATTTTTCAATTGATAAGTTTTTGTTGACTTCATTTGATTGCTTTCAAAAGGTGCTGCAACACAAATTCGTCTATGTCCAAATGCTACATGGAATGAAAATTATACGACACTCTTCAATTCATCAAACTCTATGTACAACAATATGATAGTAGATTATTTCGTAGATGCTAACGGTAGCATCTATATTGCGAATGGTTCAGCAAATCATGTCATTAAATATACATCGAGAAATTTGAGCGTAGCCTTTTTTATGGGTAGTGGTAGTTTTAGTCCGTACACATTTCAACGAATGACTGTTGACACGAATGGCACAGTTTATACAAGTGAATACCGAGTATGTATTGATGTGATTTTCAATTCTATGATACAATTTGAATCGATGCGTCAGAACAGAATTTCATCACTTCAAATGAACCAAACTTGGAACATTTTTATTCTTTTGTTGATTTAAATTGTTCTCAGTATCATCTAACATATCAACATTTTTTATCAAGAGGATCTGAAGATATAGGATATACAAAGTCCAAGAGGTCGGCTTTTCACATCACTTCTTATTAAGAAATGTTTCTGTTTAATGTAACTCCTGCTTCACCATTTGCATTCATTAATCAACCAACTTATAGTAGATACCCTGTATTTTCAGAATATATTGTTGACTGCCACCATCATTCACTCTTGTGAACTGTTTTCTTAAAAAAACCACATATAAAATCATTCAATCATTGCCTATCGCACGAGATTAAAAACAATGCTCAGTATGAACGAATGGTCGGAAAATATTGAAATTGATCTTGAACGAAAGCCAAGAGACAACACTACAAAACGGTCCAAAAACAAGAAAACATCAAACATTTATCATCACGAGAAAAGTACAAAGCAAATCTCAGAAATTCGATTTGCATACTAAATGTCACGCGAAATTTTCATTTGGTTTTGTCCATGAATCTCTTGATTTTTGAATACTCAAGGCAAAACTGTGCTTCTTGTATTTAGTCTTTGTAGTTAACTACTGATGAAAAAAAATCAGTAGTTGAAAATTCATGATGCAAGAGAAAAATGAGAATTAAGTAGAAACTGTCACACAAGATTATTTCGTGAATGACACTAGCCGAACTAGTAACAAATTCAACTTATCACACATCAATCGATCGATCGTTAAAAGCGCTATGAATCTTAATTTTTTTTCACTAACTGAATCACGTTCATGCACTTTATCTTTCTAGTTATCCAACTTGAACTTGTTTCCGTGAGAATCCACTTTTAGCTCTTGAAGCCTATAGCTTTTGATTAAAATTAACGGAAGGTTTTAGTTCTAACAATATCATAGTCATCAATGATGAGTACCATAAGTAGGAGTGTCTGTCCACTAATGATTCATTCAAAGGTGTATGACACTTCTACTTTTGTACCATACACATGTTTCTTACATAGAATCTCGATGACAATCAACATATTCTGAAACACCTCTGTATTTCAGCAATTGTACTGATAATAATAGGGAATATTTGTTTCGGTAATCATCTCATATAGCTCAATAAAATGTGCGATTCAGTTTGTCTAAATTCGAAATTTTTTTTTATGATTTTTTTTTTCCTCCAAACAGTAAAATAGCATTGCAAAAAGCTCATTTATTCATGTTCAACGAATAAACTCTATAAATGAACTTTGACTTTTTTCAGAGTGGTCCAATGTTCTATTCGCCTGCAACATACTATCGAATTCAAAGATACGATTCTAATAGTTCGTTATTCGGTACGACCATCTTTGGAGAAACTGCTTGCGGCACACCACCAAATCAATTTTGCGGTTGTGCTGATATTTTTATTGATCGAAGAAATGCGATCTATTGCTCAGATTCATTTTATCACATTGTTATTATGATAACACCGATTAATCCTCAAGCAACAGTAGTAGCGGGTACAACGAATTCACCAGGATCACAATTGAATCAACTTAACAGTCCTCAAGGTATCTTCGTTGATACCAATGGTACTGTGTTTGTTGTAGATTCAGGCAACAAGTAAGAAATAGTCAATGAATCTTATTTTGAATAGTCAATATTTAATTTGGTCTGATTAAAAAGTAGAAAAGTGTTTGGTTTGTTAGGTTTTGTATTGTATTTTGTTCGATATTGAAATAGAACATAACAGATAGATTTCTGATTGTTTTCTTGATAACAAATCTTGATTTTAGTCGAGTATTGATGTTCTTGGCGGGCAATCGTTATGGTGTACATTTGTTCAGTACGACCTCAACTTACATGTATTCTAATGGAATTGCCGATTTAACTGTCGACAGTGCTGGAAGTGTATATGTTATTGGATCTACTCTGCAAAGATGGGCTCCAGGAACGACTTATTTGACCACAATTTTCAATTCCTCAGTTTGGGGTTCTTCTTCTTATTATTATTCTTCTGTGAATCAACGGATAGCATTCGATAATTTGGGTAATATGATTCTCAGATTGGCTTCAGGATCGAGTCTTGGACTATATAACATTACTACGAATACTTGTTAGAATGACAAATACATTGACACGTTTTTATACATTTCTTTCAAATAGTGCAGTCTTATTCTAGCTTTTCATACATATCCATAAATAATTCTCATCAAATAAACATACTTCATATTGTTCAACTCACAACAAGATTCTCATGAACTGTAGTAGAAAAATTTCGCCATCTCCTTGCTGTGTGAAGATTGATACAACCACCGAGAAACACATAGGACTGAGGTTACGAACAGAATGATCGTGCATTTCAAGGCCTTAACCCTGTTGTCTTTCTCGTCTACTAAATTTTCAACTTCTTTTTTAGTATGCCCTTTTTTCTTCTCTTGCGCTATTCTGTTCGCTTCGGCTAGTCTTATGTCATCCTTCTAGACAGTATATTTCCTTTTTTTACTTGGCTATTGTGTATGAAAGCCTAAACATGCCTTTAGGATCGTCTTGGTCAGAGAGTGAAACTATGTTAATACTAGAGTCTGACACGGAGTCGATTTCAGAGTCGTCGTCGGAGTCAAATAAATTGTTTGCTAAAAATTTAGCTTTAGCAGTAGAACTAGGGTGTTGATGTGGATGTAGGTGTAAGTATGGGTGAGTGTAGATGTAGATTATCAGCGACCCATGCTGAAATCCTCTTGCATCCACAACCACACCCCTAGTTTCGAATTTGATAGACTTTTGTAAATATAACTTGATTGGACATCATGTCATCGAAGTCTAGGTTCTGCTAGGTAATGCAAACGATTGTTTGTGAGTATACATGATTTCAGATGATTCTGATTAGTTGGAATCAGCTTTCTTCAATGGCGTACAGGTTTCATCATTTGAACGCACTCGTTCGATCTTCTTTATAATGACGTAATACATGAAGAAACGTAAAATTTTCATCTAATATTTCGAAATCATCAATTTAGCTTTTATAAAACCTCGAAACGAACACGAATAAAATGTTTAATCCATCCCTAGATAAAGTGATTCCTTTACATAGGTAATTTTTTTGTCGAAATATGTTTTTCATTGAATTAATTTTTGGTTGTGGGTCTTGTGAGTTCTTGGCTTGAGAGAATCTGACACTACATTTTTAATAATAGAAAAAGCGCAGTATGAAATGTCCAATATTCTTATGATTCTCTAGATCTCTTTAAATATAGTAGAAAAGCAACAATGGCATCTGAATAAATCAGCATGATTTAGGATAACTTTGAATCTTTAAAAGAGTTTTTCTCTTTTGTATCAATCTCTGATGTATCCTTGTTACTCGATTCCATGGTGTCTAATTAAAAGAAATCAACTAATTCTCAAAGAGTAAAATGTAATTATTTGTGCAGTAAGTCCTAACCTAGTTCAAAATTTATCTAAACTAGTTAAAAGAAAAAAACGATTATTTCACGAGAAAAATTATCTTTTAGATACAAAGCTCTTTCTCTCGTTGAATTTGCTGCACAATTATTTATACTAAAATATACAGAATTCTTTTTTAAGAGCAGACTAATGCTGTGTTTTATTCTTAAATTTTTTGTAACGTTATTCGAACTTCATAGTAACTTGGGCAATCAATTAACAACAGATTTTTCCAGAACAACAGCGAGGAAGACAGTACTGTTATCAGATTATGTCGTTCAGCTAGGTTTATTAACAAGACAACCTCGAATATTGGCAATAAACTTATCATGTTCTGCTATAATTGCCGATCTGATGATGACGAAATCATCATTTACTTCGTTTGAGAAGAAAAACGTCTTTAATGAAGATGGTTGAACAATGAAAATATTGATTGAGTATATAGAAAGAATTGAAAAAAATGAATTTAGCTTCAAGGATAATGATTTATGAAAACTGATTCAGTTTTGAATCAGTAATCTGGGAAATAGAAATAGAATTGTCAAAAATTTCTATGTCTTATTATTTCCTTTTTTTTTATTAACAATAATCCCTGTAAGACATTTGAATCTGTTGTATTTTCCATTGTACTGTCGAGGACAGAAAATACAAAGATATACCATCATCGCAAATTTGTCCTGACATCAAGAAATTTTAGTATCTACGACTCATGAAAATACTGGCACATTGATAACTATGAATTATCAACTATTTTTCTATTAAAACATAGATACATTTCAGATACACTGTATATTTACTTGTTATCTCCAAGTAAAGGTGAAAATTAAAAGAAAAGGTATCATGTCAAACGAATTTATCTCCGGATAGTTCAGTTACTCATTTGCAAACATAAACATTTCATTTTCTACAAACAGACGAAAAATTGCGGCCATTTTATGGTCTGTAGTGCGATGAAAAAAAAACTAGTCAAAAGTAAATTAACATAAAGAGACATTCAACGTAAGACAAAATTTTCTCTTTTTGTGATGATTCTTAACTAAACCAAGTATTTAAAATTAGAATATGTTCTGAAAGTTATTATGATTTATTAGAAATGCTGGTAATCAAGGATGGACATTATCAAAATTTCAGTATATACTTATTGATATAGTTGTTTAGTTTATATTTGCGAATTTCGCTGATTAATATTCAATTCTTAGTCACAATATTTCTAATTGTATAATCATTTCAAAATATTACTACTGAATTCAAAACAACAATATCGAAAAAGATGTTAATTCAGGATAATGACACTGGTTCAGAAAGTTACTTTTGATAGTATGAAAATACAAACAAGAAATATTAGCAGTCGATGCAATTTCACTCGTAACTATAGTTTATTGTATATTGTTTATTATTATTGGTATGTTTGTATGTAATACTGTTCCGATCATCTTGTTGTGCGCAACTTTATGATATTTTTAATGATATGTTTTGATTTTAACCTTATATCTATTGACCAGTTTGCAAATTATATTTATTTCATTATCATTATTCATACAGTGAAAACATATTATATCAAGTTAATTTTCTGAAAGTCAAATGGTCTTTCGCTTAACCCTTTAAGTACCATGAATCTGTCTGCAAGAGAAATTTTTGTAATTTTTCATAGTTAAGATACTCATAAAGCAATATTAATACTTTCATCAAAGATGTAACTGTGGATACATCTTCCTTCCACCAACAACCATAACTATACTTGAAGATAATTTTTTTTTATGAATTTTTTAATTGGATTGATGACAAAGTTTGATAGCATCTTGTGAGTTTTGATATTCTAAATCCATATTCAGACAATGATTTTGTGAAGAATTCATTTCATTTCCGACTTGAAATATTGCTTCATCAAAACGTTGCCACTTAATTCGATATAGATTCAGAAGAATACGTGTAACAAACAACAATTATTTCAGTTTTCAATAACATTATTCACAAAAAAAACTTTTCAAATTTTCGTTTTTACCAAAAACAGAAATCTTTCTTGCTTTATCATTGCTGGAAAAAATAGCATGATGGAATTTTAATGAACTTGCATCTTAAAGTCAATACTCATCGACTCTTACATGACGTATAAAGCACATTGTGCAGATAATTTTGATATCGAGATAAATCCAGATGCATATATTCTCATCCATGACTTGGATCATTTCTTTAAATTACGACTGATATTCGGAATCTTATCTCATTTTCAATTCTATTTCACTGCAGAGAAATGATGATACGAATCTTTCTCTTATTTTTCTGCCCGCTTATTGTTTCAACAGCACCATTACCGTATGCGGAATGGGCTCATTATCATATGGTTTGGCTACATAATTTACACACAAATCAAGTTGATATTCAAGCAATGTTCGATGGTTATCTTGAACATCATATTCCAGTTGGCATTGTCAATATTGATTCACGTTGGGAGAGCAATTTTAATACATTTATATTCGATTCAGAGAAATTTCCAAATATTCGACAAATGCTCGATAATATTCGAGCAAAAGATGTACATATTGTTCTTTGGATGACATCATTTGTTAATATTGATTCACCAAATTATGAATATGCACAAGATCATGGATATTTATTCAATAAAACACTTAAATGGTGGCATGGTGAAGGACGATTATTAGATTACTTTAATGAAAATGCTGTCAATTGGTGGCATAGTCAAATTGAAAGACTACTGGATACTGTTGGTCCGATTCATGCATTTAAAGTAAGATAAAAGTTTCTTTATCAAGGTAAAAAAAAAAGGTAGATTAGATCTAGCTGTTGAAGTACTTTTTTGAAACTATATTGATTGAAATTTAAATTCTTGACAGAATTTTTACATATTTGGTTGCTCTATTTTGATTATGTATTATTTTATTGTGTTGTTTAGGCTGATGAGAGTGATCGATATATTGAGAAACTCCATGACCCACGTATAACATGGCTCAAGTATCGAACAGCCTATTATAATGACACATTCCAAATATTGCGTCGTTTAATTGGTCCAGATGCGCTAATTATGTCACGTCCAGTTGATGACGATCTGGAATGGTCACCACGTGAAATAGTATTTATGGGTTGGGTCGGTGATGAAGATGGAACATATAAAGGATTGCAAACAGCACTTCGATACATGCTTGAAAGTGGTCGTCGTGGCTA